TTTGGAAAAATAATTATAAAGTCAGATTCATGAAACTTGGCAATCGGATGTCCAATTATAGGTCAGACATATCCGTGAAGTTTCTATAGAATGACTTCACAGGTTCGAGTAATTGCTACACAATAACGAAAGGTGCAGGGTATTATTCAATCGGTTTATACCGACTGAAACGTTTTTACTTGTTTTATTAAAATTTGAATCTAATAACAAACAAGTTTTAACAGCTAAGCATATTATGATTGCTACAAATTATTTTACAAAAATATTCTATATTCTACCTAAATAAAAATATTATCATATTATTGTATTCTGTTAGTATAAGTGATTAAAATTTGATTTAGAATAGATCAACTATTAATAACATGATTTAAATTCGAATTTGATTTTCCAACTTTTTTCAGTTACAGTTTTCTGAAAACATTTTACAATGAATAAATGCCACGGAACAGAATGAGTCTGAATAAAATGCATATACTAAATAATACTAAGTGGAAATATAATCGAGCTAATTAAGAAAGTGTACAACATTAGTTCCTGACTCCTGTACCTTTACTGTAATTGTATAACTTTATAAACAAACTATGCTTTTCCGGACAAATCGAAGGTGTTTGGTTGTAATAGACCCTTGGAATACAGAAATTACAATAGTCTCCTTTACTATGGATGCTAAATAATATTTTTTTGGTTTTTATTTACTTTTATATGTAGGCACGTTTGTTAATATTATCAATCGCACTAATACACTCAAAACATTATTTTTCATTTATAAAAGTTTTAAATTTTTTTCATTTTTTTTCCTCTTCTTCAAGCCGATTATCAATTTTTCGATGTTTTTTCTTATAATTTATTTACTATTATATATTCTTCTTTTTGATGCACTTGCATTTAACTAACAGTAAAAAGATAAAAGAAGAATAAAAAGAATAAGAAGAAAATAATAACAACAATATTAACTAAATAATTTCCAATTTATCGTTTATTATAAATTTAAAAATTATAATTAAATATTTAAAAACAAAAAAGAATAATAATAATAATAAAATAAAAATAAAAATTCATTGCAAATGTGTGTGTGTAATTAAAATAATAAGAAAAATTATTTATTTTTCTTATTTTAATTTCATTGGCAAATAGTTGTTGGTGTTTTCAATTAACATATGAAACGATTAATTGATAAAAAAATACCGTTAACTTACTTTCTGTTTATTTAGTTTTAATGAAAAAAAAAACTTTTTTCAAATGGTATAGGTATACATTTCTTAATATTATTGGTAACACCAATATTACAATATTATCAGGATTGCCAGACAACATTTCAAAATATTTTTTGCCCACGAATACGAGTATATGATAAATTTTTCTCGTTTTTTTTTCTCCTGATAAAAGTTCACCTAAAAAGTGAAATGTTTCAAAATATGTTCATATTATGATTATAAAAAATATTCATAAATGAATGGATTGCGTGTTACATATAAAAATGTTATATAAATAATAATACTTTCATAATAATCACAAACATTATGATGCGAAATTAATGTTGTAAGTACAGTTCAATTGCATTAAAAAAACATGTGGACAGTAAAACAGTATACGTAATCGAAAAATTAAAAAAAATTAGTTATTTGGAACCGAAGAACATTTATAGTTAAATTATATTAAATTTTTAATAATTATTAATATTTAGAATTACGTGGTGATTATTCAGAAAGTCGGTAAAATTATAAATGCATTCATTTGCATAAATTTCCTAATAATGTTCTATAATGAATTGATTGCAAGAATTAGTCGAAAATTTTTAAGTATTTTTTGATGTAATTGCTATACAATCCACTTATTTGATGTAACAATACAATCCACTTATTATCACTTTTATGGAAACATTTCCAATTTAAGGTTATCTTTTTTGTTATGAATATTAACTTAATCTGAAGTTAGAACAAACACATACATTATTAGTATCCTTTCATATTAAACTTTTTAAACTTTACTATTGTATTAGAGTATAAATATCAAATAATTGAAAAAAACTTCACGTTGTCAACTTCTAATTGAATCTGTCACTTTAAAATTGAAGCTTTCTTTACATTTATCTTATACTTCAAATTCTTCAAGTTTAATGTCACTAAAATCATTTAAAAATTTTGAATATCAATATATACATTCTATAATTACGTATTAAGAGACGTTTTTCACAACACATTACTTCTTTACGTTTTGGCAACCCCAAACAGTAAGCACTCCATACTCAGTATGACAAATTATTTACAAAAACAAAAATTAGAATTTTTATCAATATCAAAGTGAAATAAAGTAACAGAAGAGAAAAGAATAAGACATATACAAAATACAAAAAAAAAAAGTGAAATATACTCAGAAAGTCAAAACTGTTTAATATCCAATTTTATTAAACATACATATACATATTATATTACTTCGATTATCAGTCAAAAACAGATACAGGTGTAGTAGAGTGAGAACAGAAAAATTCAGGCCACAATTCTATGATCTGTCTGCTTTATGGAATAAAAAACAAAAAAAAAAAATAAGCAGTCAACAGATAACAGAAGAAAACAAACCCATCCATCCATACCATTCTTAATATTTTTTTTGAATTTATTTATTTTTTTATTCTCTTTTCACAGTCTCCCAGCTTCACTATCAAACTACAAACTCTAACCTTTTTGTTACTCTGCTCTTCAGTTTTCAATAAAAATTATAATTTGCATACGTTTGGTGTTAAATTAAAAGAAATTCGATATAAAAATATTCTATGCATGTGTGTATGTATAGAAATAAAAAACAAGAATAAGAACTCACCAAACAATAACAAAAAAATTAAACGAAAAAAAATTTCTATCACGAGATAAAATTATTGCATGCAAGGAATATATTACCAATATGTACAATCAAAATGAGACTGAAAGAAAACAGGAGAAGAAAAAAAAAATTAAAATAATTTTAACAAATTTTTATAGAAATTTTTAAGAAAATTTCTACCGTAACATAAATACACAAAATATATGTACGTAATATAATGTATTACCTGGACTATTTTAATACCGTATGAAATATTTAAATCTTTATAAAAATCTAGGACAACGAGGCAAAAAAAAATTGTACATGAATTTCTAAATACAATGCGTACAGTGATTGACAAAAAAAAAAAATTGTAAAATAAAAGTGTTTAACAAGAAAAGTTGAATATTTTACTTTAGAATAGTTAGAAATAATAAAATGTCAAGGTTTGTATCCAAAAAAATTTAAAAAAGAATTTTATTAGTTTCAATCTGAGTGTAGCTGGCCGATGTTCTCAAAGATGTTGAAACTCTTTACGAACGAGTTTTATTCTTTCATGACTTCAAGGTATTTAAGTTACAACTCTTTGAAAATGTAAAAAGGCAAGCTTAATTATTCAAGATCAGATTTTTTTTATCATTCACAATTTTCCACAGTTTTTGATGTCGGTATTTCATTTTATTAGAATAAAAAGTTGTTTCCTTTAACTTCTTGAAATCTCGAGTTGCCATCGGTCAAATTTTACAAAATTTTAATTTTCTCTCGAAAATTCTATCAATTCAAGCTTTATTGAACTTCCGTAAAATTACGAATGTAACAGCCTTCTTTTCAAAAAATGCATTAATTATAGTCAACTTTCGTTGAATTTTTGTACCAGTAAAATTTTATTTTACAACTAGCCTGAGTACATAGGCTAATTAATATTGTAATATTGTATATTGTATGTATTTTTAAAATTTCTCCTGAACATATGCAATATAATATGTTGAAAGAACTACTTTAATAGATAAACTTAAAACTTCTTTTATTTAATTACAATAATTAAATTGTTTAGGAGAAAAATGTTATAATAAATTAAATACTATAATTATGAATATTTTTGTCAACTACAGTAGGTATATATGTATATATATATATATACATGTATAGATACACGATGTCGAAAATACAATATTAATAGAAAATCGTTTTATTAAATTTATTATAGAATTTATTATTTATAGAAATTTCTTAAAAGGAAGTTATTACGACAATATTTTATGAGATTTCTATTCTAATATATTTATATATATATGTATAAATAACATATGCACATACATTCAACTTTTAACATTAAAAAATATGAAGAATAAGCATATGAGTGTAATTTTCATGACAATTGAAATAGAATGTATTTAAGTATTTTTGTATGTAGGTATACCGTACACATATTACAAACATATATAAAAATAAAGTTTTGTTGTCTTCATTTATCTTGACCAGCTCGTAAATAAAATAATAATAATAAAATTTATTAATAAATTCGTACATATTTTTATGAAATAAATTGAGTAATTTTTACGTTTCCAATAAATATTTTAGAGTTTCTTAATAATTTTTTGCTTTTTAATTCTATTTAATTTTTTTTTAAATACTTATATTATGTGTGTATGTAGAAATTTTTCAATTTTCATTAAGATTCTAAAAAGATAAGTTATCAATAATCAATGTAATTAACTTATATTTTTTATGCGTGTAACGGTTTTAGTTGATATAAAAACTGTGAATAACTAAATTGATAGCGAATTTAATTTAGTGTTCCACATATAAGAATGTTCAAGTTATTTATTTACAAATATATATATATATGTATAGAAATTTGCATAATAATTTTTTCTTTACATGGAAATTACTAGAAGGTAAAAATAAAATTCTGTTTTTATTTGTACAGCATTTGCAAATAGTTTGTTAACGCTGAAGAGGAACTTTTACAGGGCAGGAGAAAGATTTTTTTTTATATTATTGCAAATTAGTAATTCTCTGAACACGGTAGTAGGTATGTAATTCTTTTAAAATAAACCGATTCAAGAAGTAGTAATAATATAAAGTTTGGGTTTCTGCAAACAATCACATGACCTACAGTAAACCGATTTTACAAAAATTTTAAAATCTGCCTTGCATTAACAAATACTGTTGCTTCAATGAGTCCTACCTAGTTTGAATTGAATTTGACAAATATATGTATTTGAGCTTACAAGTACATTTACATAACTCATGTTATAATATCATGTGTTTATACTTACAGAATTCTTTCCAAAATATATTCAAAAATCGTTCACAATTACTAACCTGTAAAAAAAGAAAAAAAAAATTGTTATAAAATTTTATTAACATAATTATTTGTATTTAATAAAATTCATATATATATAAATAAAAATCAATTACATTTTAACTAAAATTTTATTAAAATGGAAAAAGAAATTTAATTAAAAATTCTAAACTTAGAAAGCTAAGAAAATTGTTAACATTGTCATAAAGTGCCCATTAAATGAATTTTAAAATAATAATTTTATTGAAAAATAATTTATAAATAACTTTGATATCAGGTATACTGGTAAATAATGCACTATGTACTTGGTTATAATAACTTCCTAATATATATGTACATTTATCTGTACCTGCACCTGTACACTTTTTTAAGGAATAAACTTCAGCTAATTCTTTAAATATCAGTATTTCATTATCGAATATCGATAATAAAATTTTTGTGCGATATTGAACGATTATCAATTTATTACTATTTATACAATGTTCATTTGATAAATCGTTAATGCTCATTGATTCTTTTCAAAACATCTTATTCCTATTATAGAGCGGTGCTGACATTAAAATATCCATTTTTAGTTCAAAAACATGTGTAAAATCTATATAAAGTGTTGTTGTATATATCTATAATATTTATATATATATACATATTATATATAAAATGTCAATTGATTGATAGATTATAAAACTATTTTGGAAATATTTATAAATAGGACAATATCCTCTACTTGTCATCATTATCATTGTATTCATATTTCCCAATGGAACCACATACAATCACTTAATTAAAATGAAAATTTTTCTAATAAGTACACATAAATATATAAAAAGATTTTAAAATTAATTTGTTTTAAGAATTTTTTTTCTTAAAGAAAATTAAAATAAATAAAAAAAAAAATTCTAAAATTCTTTGAAGTTTTTCCAATTCTATATATTTTCAAAGAAATTTACGATTTCATATAGAAAAAGAAAATTTTATAAATGGAAAAGAAAATAATTTCTTTTCTAATCAAATATAGACTAAACAATTTAAGTTTTTCATTAAGGGATCAAAAAATAATCATCAGGGAAATGAAAATAGAAAAAAAAAATATAAAACGGCATAAACCTAAAACGGCAATACTTTTTCTGTTATTTTTCTTATTAAATTTCTATTATTTTTATAAAAAAAAAAATCGAATAAGGTAAAAAAATATTTTATATTTATTTGTATGTTCATCATACATACTAATTCTGCACAATATAAAAATTATTGAGTGTCCAAAAAAGGCGGATTCTCTTTAGTTCATAGTATGTTTTTGGACTGATCAGAATTCTATTAAGAAAAAAAAAAACAAAACTATTAAGATCTAAATACGAAAATCATAAGAGTATATAAGATATATAAGATATAAGATCAATATACAGAAGTATAAGAAATTACTAAGAAAACAATGTATGGCTGGAAATTTTTCCTAATGGGAAAACATCACCAGAAAATGGTGATTTATACTAAAAGTAAAGACTTATGAGATTTTACTGTATCTTGTGTTCTCTTCTGTAATATAAATTTTTATTTGTTAATGTTAAAGTTACACATGATGAACTGTTATATAAAATTCGTGAAGAAACTACCATTAAATAAATTAATGAGCTGTTTCTTTTTTCTTTTCTGACATGGTAGACATGACATACAATCTAGGAACTTAAGTTTTTTAATATGGCGAAAGTTAACTTCTTTTTACAAAGAAGGACATGCAGTCAATATAGGTTAAAGCTTTTGAATTAGAATACTTAGGCCATAATTCGATGACATTAACACAATTCGATGTCTATGGTATGGTCAAATCTGCCAAATGCGTCTGAAGTCTTTTAATGTAAATTTTATTTTTAAAAATGTGATTTACATATCGGAACTTATGTTTCAGCTTAAAAAATTTCTAAGTAATTTTCTGTTTAATAGTATGATTATTACATCGGTTATTACTAAGCAGTCATTAATATTATTATGAATATTTTAATGAACTATTTATTTTATACATATTTTTGTGTTTTAAATATTATAAAATAATTGGAAAATATTTATTTCATGATAATTATTTCGGATTTTCAGGTTAAAAATTTTTTTACATAAATCAATTTTAATTAAAAAGACAATTACAAAAACCCTGTAAATAAATAAATAAATCTATATATTTAAAAGTTTCGAAATATTTTATTATTTTTAATAAAAAAAAAACAAAATATTATTCATGTTGAAATGAACAATAGGTTTCACATAAGTCATATTTTAATTTATTAGAAAATTAAACGGAAAACTACTCAACCCACATATTGATAGAAAAATTACCAAAAAAAAAAATATAAAGGTACAATCTTTTAACACTGGTTACTTTAACATTCTTTCAAAATAACATATGAAATATTATTTTACACGTGAGCATGCTGTATAGAAATATTTTTTTGATTCTCCCTCTCTCTATGTCTGCAATGCAACTCTTTCCTTCTTTTTTGGTGTGTACACATGTGTTCATATGGACGTTATAATTTAATAACAAAGTTAAAGTTGTTACCAGTTTGAAAGTAAAAAATATTTAAAACAATTTTGAATTTATTCAAAAAATATTTTGAAATTAAAATAATTTTGAAAATTATTTATTCGTTGTTTTATGTCGATAATAATATTTTTTCGCAAATTTCCAAAAAAAAATTGGAAATCTGTTGTGTCCAAAACAAAGGTTAATCGAAAACTAATGAACTCAGTTAACCAAAAAACTAAATCGTAAACCAAATTTTTGTTGCTTTTCAGTGTAATTTTTCTCAAATTTCTCCTAAATTTATGCAAAATTGTAATTGCAGAAAAAAAATTTATATCCAAAACTATAATATAAAAACCATGAATTTGATAAAGGGTTCGGAAAGTTCTAATATGGTTGGAACATAACCATATCAGTATACTATCTAAATATACTCTAACTGAAAAAAATTTCTTTTTCTTTTACATTGAATGAATAAAAATTCAAGCCAAGTTTAGTTCAACATTACTCAAAAGTTTTTCTAAAGATATTCGCTTATATACATACACATATACTCATAATATTAGAATTATAAAAGCTGAAAAAAAAATTGATGTGGAAACACTGTATATTTTTTGTACGAGTATACATTTGAGACCATTTCGTGTGTCTTGTTTTTTCTTTTAATTTTTAAAATTTTGATGCTTTGACCAAAATTCGACCTCATGTTGCACCCTAAAAAACAACTGAACTTTTTTCTGTACTTATGATTTTGAGTACAAATAATTGTGTGCAATAACCACATACACACAATTACATGTGTATTATTAAGATAAATAATGCTCCCATATAGCTTAGAAAAAAGAAACATGAATATTCAATTTATTAATTTTTTTCCACAATATTTGAATTGACTTGGTGTTGTTTTATAATTTTAACAGTAGTAAAAATGTAAAAGAGAAAAATAATATTTATTTTTTCCTTCTTTAAGTAAAATTTAACCCTTTGTTGACTAACGCTGCTCTCAAGTATCACCAACTTCAAATCGTTTAAAAATCGTAAATATTAGGTTTAAACTGCTGATACTTTGAAATAATCCATTATCTCACACATTTGACCGGGTTTTTTTTGTGTTTTTTAATTTCGGCAGTCGTATTGTGTGTTTGAGTGCAATCGGTCCGTGTTGTAAAACAAGGAAAAAATTTCTATTTTATGTAAACAAGGAAAAATTGTTTGTTTTATGTATTTTGTTTTTATTATTTTTACGAATATACTTTCACTTACAGTTGATTATAGTCGGATCCCCAAACTCAGACTTAACTACCGAATCCAAAAAAAAAAATTGTTTTTTCAAGAAACTATAGCTTCCATTTATTAAAAACAAATAATTTAGCAACAATTTTCGTCTCTTTCTATTCTCCGGCACCAAAGGGTTAAATTTGTTTTTAAAAATCAAAAACTTCGTATGTGACAATATCGAAAAATAATTTTAATTTTGGAATGAAAGACTTTGTATGGTAATAAATTGATTTTTTTTATTTTTTTTTAAATCAACTAAAACAAAATTCGCGTTCATTTCATATTTTTTGATAATATTTTATGAACTTACGGCGATGACCTGTTCTTTGTCAGATGAAAAATCAAAAAAATAAAAAACGCAACCAAAAAAAAAAATAAAAAATCATAAACGTCAGAATAATAATCGTTTTTCAAATTAACTTTTAAATAATAAAGATAACTGCAAAATTTTTTTTTGATCATCGAACTGATAATGAATTTGGAAAAATATTTTATTTTTTATTTTAAGTTATAAAGAAAATATTTAAAAATTCATCTTGTTCTGATCGAAAATAGGCCGTCCTTTTAAATAAAGTAAATAGAGTAAATGTTATCAATTTTAGACGGGTTGCGAAGAATTGGCCCTAAAAAGATACTCGAATTTACTGAAAAGGTACGTCTTGCCAACTAATAGTGTTTCGAATTTAATTGTTACTCAATTATCAATTACTTGTAAGATGACGTCTTCTATATAATATTTGCCACTATCAAAATAATTTCAAAATAATGCACATACCTTCTATAATATGTGCAAAAATATTACAGGTTGTTTATTAATTAGAATAAGAGTATGTGTACTAATGAATTTAATTTAATGTAGCAGGATTGTTTATCCATCTAAATACAATGACTAGATTGTAGGATGTCATACGGTATATAAGAAATTGAAAAATGTTGTTAATTGTACTTTACTCAGCAACTATGTTCATTTCTGTGAGTTCAAAAAATTTACGATAATTGAATAAATAATGATGATTGACAATGTTTTTAAAACTTAAAGAAAAACAATGAAATCAGTTAATTTGTTGCAGATTACTAAGTGAACACAGACGAGCTAGGGCTCCGTTTAAATATCTTAAATTAAGTGAAAGGAGCCCTGTGTCTAATTGATAATATCATTAGAATATATTTCGTCAACTTGCATATTTTCCATAAGTCTATAAAATATTCCTGAAGTATATAAAAAACTGC